AACCCGCAGTAACTCACAGAGCCCGCGCGTGAGGTGCCCAGGGCATCCGAGCCGCTGCCGCTTAAAGCGCAGCGCTGCGGCCGCTGGCGGCGGGCCCGGCCCGCTCTAGTCTCCGCCAAGGCCAATTGGAACCGATTTGGGTGTGTGAGGCTGTTGTTTCTCTCTCTGTGCCGGCCGCCCGCTCTCCGGCCCCCGCTGACGCCCTCTCTTCTGTCTTCTCTTTCTTCTTCTAGGAGGAGAGTTAATATTGCCCATTATCACGGAGGACTCCCTAGACCCCCCTCCTGTGGCCACCCGGTCCCCCTTCGTGCCCCCGCCCCCCACCTTCTACCCCTTCCTCCCGGGCGTGGGCGCCACGCAGGACACCCTGCCCCCGCCCGCCGCGCGCCGCCCGCCCCCTGGGGGCCCGTGCCAGGCCGAGCACGACGACAGCGACTGCGAGGAGCCCATCGAGGCCTCGGGCTTCGCCTCGGGGGAGGTCTTTGACTCCAGCCTCCCCCCCACGGACGACGAGGACTTTTACACAACCTTTCCCCTGGTTACGGACCGCACCACCCTCCTGTCGCCCCGCAAACCCGCACCCAGGCCCAACCTCAGGACAGACGGGGCCACAGGCGCCCCCGGGGTGCTGCTTGCCCCCTCCGCCCCGGCCCCCAACCTGCCGGCGGGCAAAATGAACCATCGAGACCCGCTGCAGCCCTTGCTGGAGAACCCACCCCCAGGGCCCGGGGCCCCCACGTCCTTCGAGCCGCGGAGACCCCCGCCTCTGCGCCCCGGCGTGACCTCAGTCCCTGGCTTCCCCCCTCTGCCCACAGCCAACCCCACGGGCCCGGGGGAGCGGGGCCCGCCGGGCGCGGTGGAGGTGATCCGGGAGTCCAGCAGCACCACGGGCATGGTGGTGGGCATCGTGGCAGCTGCGGCCCTCTGCATCCTCATCCTGCTCTATGCCATGTACAAGTACCGAAACCGCGATGAGGGCTCCTACCAGGTGGACCAGAGCAGGAACTACATCAGTAACTCGGCCCAGAGCAACGGGGCGGTGGTGAAAGAGAAGGCCCAGGCTGCCCCCAAGACGCCTAGCAAGACCAAGAAGAACAAAGACAAGGAGTATTACGTCTGAGCCCCCAGCCGGCACCAAGCCCCACTGCCAGCTGCTGCCCCTCCCGGGAAGGCCCGGGGAGGAGGGGCGGCCCTCTCCCAGCCAGGGGCCTGGGGACCCTCTCCCTGGCTGCCACAGGCTTCTCTCAGAAGAGGAAATGCAAAAAAAAAAAAAAAAAAGAGAAGGAAAAGGAATAACCCCGTGCTCGTCCCCTTTCTCCTGCTGCCCACAGCACCGCACTGTCAGCCCGGAGGCTGTCTGTCCCTTTGGGCCCTGCGCCTGCCGGGAAAGGCACAGCTCATAGCCCTGGGTTGATTTATTTTTTTAAGGGGTGGTAGTTTTATTTTGGTGGGGTTGGGCGGGAAGGAAGGCTAGGGGTTTTGTAAAGTGTCCACTATATGTCCTGTTCATTTCCCTCAAGTTTTCTTCTTCCTCCTTTGGTCCCTTCTGCCTTCCTTCTCTTCCCAAACCCTCCAGTCTCCTCCCCAGGCTTACTGTGTCTGTCCCTACCCTCCCTCCCCACTTTTTTCTTTCTTTTTTATTCTCTTTCTCCTTCCTTTTTCTTTCTTTTATTTTTTGGTGTGTGTATCAGATCTTTCCCTTTCTTCCTTTTGGGTCTCCAGAGTTGGTGGGAGAAGGGCGGGAGGGTGGGCCTGGAGCAGCCCAGTGGGTGGGTGGGGAGCAGGGGAGCCCAAGATGCCCCAGCTCCCCTCACCAGGGAAGGTAGCCCCGGACCATCCAGGGAAGGGATTCTGGCCTAGCTGAGGCCTGTTCTGAGTGCCGCCGGGCGACGTGCATTGCTGGGGAAGCTGCTGGAGGAGCAGGGTGGGGGTGGGGGGCGGGGAGAGGCAAATGCAGATATATATTAAAGACAAATAATCTAGATATCAGAGCAGCAGCCTGTGGCACCCGCTAGGTGCGGGCACAGGGAAAGAAGGGAGCGAGGTGGCGTCTGTGGACTGCTGGGGTCACCTTTTGGCCCATGGGCTCCCTGCTCCCCCAGTTTTTTTTCTCTCTTTGTTAACAAATTGTGTCTGAGTCTTGGAAAACACCCCAACCCCGGAAATGTGTGGGAAAAAGAAAACAAAAACTTTCCAAATTCCAACAGTCCTGTGCAGTTTGTTTGGGGTGGTTGCCTTTTGGACCCTGGTCTTGGCTTGGGGCCAGATAAATCACCCTGGAACTTGCCCATGGCTTTGGGCTTCCCAAGAAGCATGATCTCACCCCAAGGTCTCTCTGTGTGGGGGTGAGGAGGAGAAGCATACTCCTGAGCCTGGCTGGCCTCGTGGTGGTGGTGTGGACCTCGGCTTCTCGGAGGACTGTGAACCAGGTGCTCACCTGGGGCAGGACAAAGGCTGCCTGAGCCTTGTTCACCTTGGAAGGGAGGTGGCTGGTGAGAATCAGTGCTCCATCCAGGGCCCCCAGGGATCAGTGGCTTGAGTCGCAGCTGCTTCTGTCCCCTCTTTCAGTCTCTACCCCTTCCCTTGTACCACCAGCAGCTCAGACCCTGAGGCCTTCCCTGTCCCCTGGATGATGGCCACAGCTCCTGGGACAAGGCAGAAGCAGCCACTGTGGAGTCCACAGCTTTGTGGAGACCTGAGTGGGTCGCAGTGGGGGAACAGTGCTGTGTTCGTTCAGCTTCTCCATGACAGGAAGCAGATGCAGATCCATGAGGACCCACTGTGTAGTCCTCAGGGGTAGTCACGGTATGTGACACATAAGATGTGATGCAGCCATGTTGCTGTCCCTCAGGGCTCCTCCCTGCCTTCAGAGAGGTGGATCCCGCCTCCCTTCCCAGCTCTGCTGGCCCCTTGGTACCCATCTCCCTCCACTGCCCATGTGGGCAGGGAACTGTCCCTTCTTGGCACAGCCATCTCTGTGCAGCTTCAGAATCCGGCTCAGGCTCATCTTCTGGGAAGGACCTTGTGTCTTCTAGTGCTCTACAGCATGGTTCCTTCTCATCCCTCAAAGTTCTATCCAGAGTGAGAGAGTAGGTTCCCTGCCATTCCAAGGGTGAACTTCCAAGGACTTGGTCTCCCTGCCCTATTGGGATCGGGATGCCAGCCCTGCTGTCCTCAACTTCACCCTGCCTTGGAGCCTGGGGTCAACATCTTGAGGTCACCTTTCAGGACTCTGGGGAGCCATGGCATGGACGGGAGCTGCCTGGGCATGCTGCTGCTGTGCTGGAGACAGCCTGGCCTGGAAGCCCTCTGTGAATGTCTGCCCAGGGGCAAGGTTTATCTCAGGTTCCCCTTTCCCCATTGTCACTGGTCAAAGAAGTTAGGCAGGCAAGCAGGAGTTCCTGGGGCATGAGGGCAGGAATATCTTACTCCAGAAATGTTTCTAGTGGCCCTGAATGAGGTTGGAGAGATTCAGGAGTTAGAAGGATGGCCTGGGTCCCTGTTGCCATGTGGTTGTGGGACTCTGTCTTTCCCACTCTGAACAAGGAGGCCAAGGGCTCCATTGTCCAGGGCTGTGTTGGAGGAGGAAAAGTTCTAGACTGGGCTGCCGCCTCAGTGTGCCTGTGTACAGGCACCTCAGCCTCACTGCACATTGGGCGCTGAGGGTAGCACCTTGCCTGGGTTAGACTCTGAGGGTGTGGCTCACTGGACAGTGACCCCAGGGGAGGCCCAAAGAGCATCTGGGGGGTGCTGAAATTTCAGGAATTGGGCTGATTGACAGAGGCCTCCAGGGGGTGTCAGGAGACTCCACCTTGGGTACCAAAGACAAGGGCTTATGGAAGCTTGAGGTGAAATCTGGTTGATGCTCTTTGTCCTTGAAGAACTTCTTAGTCACTGAAGACCCCCTTGGAGGTGGGTGCAGAACCCAAAGGGTCCTGCTTGCACCTCCACATACAAGCACTGGGGTGAGCTTTGGCCTAGCAGGGGACAGGACTGAGAGTTCTGACCCCTTTTCCTCAGTCCCCACCCTCTGAGTCCTCTGCTGCCACAGGGAAAAGACATTTGCTGGTCTTGGGTCCTACTTCCCTACATCCATTTCCCTTGGCCCCACTATAGTGGGGTCCCCAGCAGTGTCAGCAGTCAGGAGTCCCCATGGTGGGCATTTGAAAGAGGATGTGTCCCTAGGGGAGGCCTGTGTGTGGGTGGTACAGGCCTCCTTCCTTGGCAGGTTACACACCTGGCCATGGTAAAACTGCTCACTTCTCAGAGTGGCCCACAGCAACCAGCTCTGTTCAGTAGCAGAAAGGTGACACACCCTGGAGGTAGCAAACCCTGGGTCCTGGAGGCTTGTACTCCCTGGAAAGACCAGGAGTGAGGCTGCTATCAGTGTGGGTAGAAGGACAGACTGGCTTGGTGAGCAGAAGAGACATCCTAGGGAAAGAGCAGAGGCTATTTTTCCTCTGGGTTCTGCCTTCTAGAAGTTTCTGGACACCCTGGGGCCCCAAGAATATGGAATGAGGCTAGGAAAGACAGCTGTTGCCAGATGAGCAGTGGGTGACACAGGACAGAAGCCAGCATATGCAAATAATCTTGCTGTGGGGTATCTTTGCAAATGTGACCCCCCCCATGTTAGTTTTTTTTAGGTTTTCTTCTTTCTTTCTTTCTTTCTTTCTTTCTTTCTTTCTTTCTTTCTTTCTTTCTTTCTTTCTTTCTTTCTTCTTTCTTTCTTTCTTTTTAGACAGCTCTCTGTACAGTCCAGGCTGATCTTGAATTCATGTAGTACACGCTACTTTGAACTTGTATTGATCCTTCTGTCAAAGCCTCCTGAATGCTGGGATTATAGGCATGTGTCACCATGCCCAGCAGTTACTCCTACTTCTGTCCTGTTGGTCTCGAGCTCTTTACTGAAGTTGGCCATAGTCAAATGGCCAAAGAACATTGTTCTAGAGGCCAGGGGCTGCAGCTAACAAGACCAGGCAAGGGCAGGGATACTGTCCCCTGGGGACTGGGAGCTGCTGTTTCCTGCTCACCTTTCTGATGTGTGCGTGTGTGTGTACACATTGATATGGGGTCGCCTGGGCTTTGGGGGCTCATTGGTGAAGGCTTGGCACGCAGCTCCTCCCTGCAGGAGTGGCTCTGCGGAGCATTGTGTTGCCTCTTTTTTTTTGGTTGCGGGGCCCTGGCTCCACTGGGAGGCATAAGAAGGTCCTGCCCCTGCTCTCAAGAAGCATCTCTGCCTGCCCAGGCAATGAGGCTAGGGTGGCCCAGGGCACTGTGGTAGAGCTGCACCCAGCTCGAGTTCTAACTCTGCCCCCTCCTAGCTGTGTGTCAGGACCATCAGCTTCTTCACCTGGCACCTGGGGCATGAAAACTGGCCTAGAGAAGGCTTCCGTCCTCACCTTCTCACCCTAGAGAAGACCCTGGGGCTCCTTTCCAGTGGCACCGACAATCATGGTTTTTTTCCAGTTTTTACTCTTTATTTCATTCCTTATGTGGATGCCCCTCCAACCAGCTCTGGGACATGAGGCCTCCTGGCCCTCTGGGGACTCATTGGCAGATGGGAGGGGGAAGACAGGTATGTGGCCATGACCATTAGTCAGCGAGTCACCAGGTCTTGGGCTGGCCCTGTACCCTGGAAGGAGTGTCTATGTGGAGGAAGGGTGGGCACTGCAGGCAGGAGATGTAACCAAGCATGTGGCAGGCGTGTGGTGAGGGTGGGCGTGGGCCAAAGTGGCTAGGCCAGGCTTCCAGAGGCTAGGCCAGCCCTGTCAGACTCTTGACACTTTAGTCTGGGACCAATGAGGACTCTAACACCAACTAACACACCCTATTCCTTCCCTGCCAGAGAGCTGACACCCACACACCCCTTCTACTTGGTCAGAACTTTGTTGCTTGTGCTGAGCCAGGGGACGTGGCAGTCAGCTCTGAACCCCAGGGCTGTAGACAGTGGGCAGAGAATGGTGAGAGGCCTGATATGGCAGCCACGGAGGTTGGGGGCATCAGGGAGGTGACAGTCCACAGAGCAGATTCCTGCTAGTCAAGTGTCCTTTGACCTTTCTGTGCCAGAGGAGGCTCCTGACTGAGAGGGTTCCCAGGGCAGCCTTGGGTCCTTGGAATCGGAGGCCTTCAAGCACCTCTGCTGTCCCCAGAAGCTATCGCTTCTTCCTCTTCACCCCTCTGTGGGCTCTTAGGAGGCTAGAGTCTTGTGGCTATCAGGACACAGGGTGCTAGTGTGCTGTCTGTCGCTTTCTTTACTGCCCTGTTCAGGAGTGACACAGAGGTGCAGAGGGTGAGGAGAGGTGTCTCAGGATCCTGAATGACCTCTGACCCCTGACCTTTTTCCACCCTGAGGACTTGGGAGATCTTGCCCCTTGCTCAGGACTAAGCCTCCTGAACACATTGTGGGGGTGAAGCAGGCAGTGTCAGCCCTGTCAGACTCTTGACACTTTAGTCTGGGACCAATGAGGACTCTAACACCAACTAACACACCCTATTCCTTCCCTGCCAAAGAGCTGACACCCACACACCCCTTCTACTTGGTGCCTTTTAAGGGAAAGCTGGGGTGGCTGGGTCATTTGGACTTCCTGTGGTAGGATGAAGGGCAGAAGGTAAAACCACACCAATGGCCACAGGCTCAGCTCTGGGCTTCCACTCTCCTATGGATGTCCTACTATGTGACTCTGAGCCAGTCCTATCCCTCTCTGGGCTTTTCCTTCCCCCTTGTCTGTTCTGGGGTTCTCTGGAGGAGGAAAACATGGAAGGAGGCAGGGAGGCAGGGGAAGAAGAGGTCCCAGGGCTGTCCACTCACTGGTTCTGCACATCTTGGAGGGTATCAGGCAGCGGCAAGTTCTGGGTCTCAGGCAGCAGCAGTGCAGCCAAGCCACTCACCACTGGCAGTGTCCCATACAACAGCTCGGGCAGTGAGGGGCTGTGAATGCCCAGCATCCGGACCAGAGGCCCCAGGATGGCTCCTGCACGGGCAGCCATCTGGCCCAGGCCCACAGCTGTCATCCTGCAGGACAGATGCACCTATGAGGAGCCACTTCCTGGCCCTTGGCCTTGGCCTTATGTTTAGCCACACTTGGCCTAGCAAGGCCCTGATGGTCAGGCCTGGCTGGGATGTACCTGGGCCACATGAAAAGGAGACGCTAGAAACTCCCCTGCCCCCGGGACAGGAAGCCTCACCTGAGCACAGTGGGGAAAAGCTCATTGCTGTAGACTGTGAGGCACGTGAAGGTAGCCCCCAGCGACCCCAGGCCCAGCACAGCCAGGGCTGAACGCAGTGACCCCATATCTGCAGACAAAGACAGGTTGGCAGGGTTGGCATCCAGACTGTGGGGGACAGTGGGATTTCTTTTTTCCCAGGGCTTCTCCCTGTACTCCAAGCCTGCAATGTTTCCACTTGGGGGGGTCGCAGACCCCACACTGTACCCTAAGTGACTTCTGACAATATCTCTTAGAGGTGCTCCTCTGTGCCTATCCTCTCCTGATGAAATCCAACCCTCTATTTTTTTTTTTCTGCCACACATGTCTGTCATTTTGCCCCCTAGACTCTGGCCACTGCACATGCCCAGTGCAGCCCCAGCTCCCAGCAGGGCCTCTGCTAACCAGGCTGCTGCTCTCTGAAGGGGACCCAGGGTCCCTGTCCCTGACTCTGAGCCCAGGGGTAGGAAAGCCTCCATTGGGAGCCTGTGCCACTCACTGTGTGGCACCAGTGTGTTGGCCAAGATGCAGAGCCCAGGTAGCACCAGGGAGCCGGCCTGTGAGGGGCGGCGGCCCAGGTGGCCCAGCAGCAGCTTGGTGCCTATCTTGGCAGGGATGTCCACAACCCCGATGAGCACCTGGAGCAGGAAGATGTTGCTGCCCAAGGCCTGGAGGTCCAGGGCCAGACCATAGAAGGTGAAGCCAAAGGCAAACCTGGGCAGAGACAGAGAGAGGCTGGGGTTAGGGTTGCTCTTTTCCTGCTTGGTCTCTGATTTCATTTCCCATTTGCCAAAGGGACCCTTCCTCAGGTTGGTCAGTGGGAAGCACTGATGAGAAGCTTGGGCACAGACCCAGGTGGAGGAGGCAGGAGCCAGGGGTGTCTCTCTCCCCTTGGTTGCATTGTCTGGGAGTGGCCATGTCAGTCCATGGCTCCAGCCTCCCTCCACACTACGGTAGTTCTGGTCTTTGCTGAGTAGCCCAGGTTCCTGGATTCTCACAGTAGCCCCACTCCTGATCTGCACCTGTGCCTGTCTGTGGCTTCCCAATCACCTGCTGTCCTATTTGTCTTACTGGCTGCCCAGTGCCTTGGTCATGAATCCTCTTATTTGCTTGACCTCCACAGCGCCCTCAGGGAGCCCCCTGGTGGTTCTTGTCAGGCTAAAGGGAAGATGTAGGCAGGGACCTACCAACATAGCATGGAGATCCAGGTCCGGAGGCGCAGGCTAGGTTCGTGTAGCAGGGCACCCAGGCTGGCAGAAGCCTGAGCCCCACTCAACTCCTCCTGCATGGCTAAGAGCAATGCCTGCGGGGTAGGATGGTGTTGGCCCTGAGAGTCCCAGAAACTTTCTCCTAGAGACCCTCATCCCAAAGGAGCTGGGCCCTTGAGCAGGGTCAGGAAGGGAGCTGAGGGCAGGGGTTCGGGCAAGGCCTGGCTCCACCTCACCTCCCTGGTCAGGGTGTCCCCTGCTGTCTTCCGGTTGATGGAGGCCACCTTCTGCAGCTCCTGCAGGCCGAGATCCAGCTTGCCCATGGATAGCAGCCACCGTGCCGACTCTGGCAGCCACCTGAAGTGGGGCCGTGGGAAGGGTCTGCAGTGTTGGAGGGACTTGGACCTGTTGGCTGCTAAGACCCCCCACAGAGAGTGTGGCTGTGCCTGCTGTATGCTATGGTGGTCCCAGTGCAGTGGTGCCTGGGTCAGGGAGGTGCGTGGCTGAAGGGGACACCTGGAGCACAGGGACATATCTGGGGTGCCTGTGTTCTGATCTGGAGAAGTGTGCTGGGCTCCCAGAGTCCTACCCCGGCTCTGCAACCCTGGTCTCTGGCACCCAAGGCCTCTGCTCCCAGAAGTAAAGGAGGCTCCTGCACTAGGCCCCCAGGAGAGTGCAAGGTCTCCTCCTCCAGAAGGAAAGTGTTCAGCACCTACCACGAGTAGGCAAAGCAGAGGAAGAAAGGGGCAGAGACGGCCAGCTGCAGCAGCGTCCAGTGACGCAAGCCATAGGCCACTGCAGCCATCAGCATTTGGCCAAAGCTGAAGCCCAGAGAGTTCAAGGTCATCATCAAGATGCTGGCCTGCGCTGGTGTCCACTCCATCACTGCAAGGAGACGTGGGTCAGACCCAGGGCCTGCCTCGAGCTTCCTCTGTGTGGCACCTGCCCAGGAACCTACAGAGACTGGTTGTGCTCATCATGACACCCGCCACCGCGAAGGCTGCTAGGAAGCGGAACAGGCAGTAGAGCGGGAAGTTAGGGGTGAAGGCGGCTGCGGTGCCCGACACGGCTATCAGAAGGTAGCTCCAGCTCAGCACCACCTTGCGCCCAAACCTGCAACACACACACGTTGACCAGCCACGTGGAGCTTGGCCACAGAGAGCCCACCCCGTCTGTGCTTGCTACATCTCAGGCAATCCCCTCATTGTCCTTCATAGAAGCCCGTGAGCGTAGACAGAACCCAAGACCCACTCAGAAGGCATGCTTAGCAGGAAGTGAGCTCCCCATCCCCAGGAGTGTTCAAGCAACATTAAAGGCAGTGCATGACCCAGCACGTTTTGTTTGTTTCAGACAGGGACCCATTTAGTCCCCTAGTTGCCTAGTCTGGGCTGGAACTTGTGATCCTCCCACCCCAGCCTCCCAGAGTGCTGGGATCACAGGCATGTGCCACCATGCCCAGCCAACCAGCTGGTGTTGCCAGTGAATATTTGTTAAGAAACAAGCGTGCTGGTACTAGGAACAGCTACTACAAAAACAACAATATGCAATGTATTAATTATTATAACTGTACTCCTAACCTGTTTTGGAAACTGTCTCATTGCTATTTCTTTCTCAATAAAATTATTAAAATTAAAAAACAAAACAAAACAAAAAAAGAAACACGGGTGCTGTACAACCCCAGAGCAAAGCTGTGAATCTGTGGCTCAGAGAGGCGGTGATTCTGGGCCTGGGGGCATACACCTATGATCCTAGCACTCTGGGAGATTGAGGCAGAATTGCTAGCTCAAGCCCAGCCCAGGCAACTCAATGATTTAGTCAGACTCTGTTTCAACATAAAACATGGAAAAAGGGCTAGGGTTGTAGCTCAGTGTGATGGCCCTGGGTTTAATCCTGAGTACAGGGAAAAGAAAAAGAGAGTGACAGGAGGAAACGGCTGGGCCAGCGCCGCAACACTCACCTGTCCGAGGTGCAGCCACACACTGCAGCACCCACCAGGATCCCGGCCAGGAAGATGGACTGGGCCATGGGCCTCAGGGCCTGAGAGTCACACACCAGGTCCCACTGTGGGGAGAGAAAGAAGATAGAGCTCAGGAGGCTGGGAGAGCCTAGGTGGGAGGGAGAGGGAACAGACACCAGGGAAATGGCCTCAGAGCAGGGTCCTGGGGGCAGCAAGGACACCACAGATGTAGCTGGGTCTTTTGAGGAGCATCTTATTGCTGGTCTAAGTCCCTGTGTGGCTTCCTGTTGCCCCACGGGCTCCCCCACAGACCCTCTCTGGTCCTCTGCCCTCTGCCCCTCCTCAGCCATCCTGCAGTGACCCTGTTCTCTGCCCATAGGTTGAGTTCCTCCCGTTCTTACAGAGAGGCCTCTTCCTGCTAGCTGGGAAAAGTTGCCCTTCCCCAGAGGCCAAGATTTGGCTGATGTCCCTTCTAAGAAGCCACTTGGATTTATCCCTGCTTTGGGGAACCCATTGAATTGTCATCCAGTCCTCAGTGACTCAGTCCCTGGGGGTCACAGCTGAGTGTCAGCAGGCCAGGACCCCATGCAGGTATGGACATCAGAGGAGCCTGCATTCAGCTGGTCTCTGGGGACTGAGTCATGCCACCCTTTCCCTTATGGGACACATGGCTGACAAGGGGCTATGAGACAATGCAGGGGTGAGAGAGGCCCAGGAGGTCCCAGAACAGGACCATTTGTGTGCAGCCAACTGTGACCTGTGACTTTGACTTTCAAGGTGCAAGAACATGGAGCGGGTGCCTGGTGGCCCTTACCTTGGTCACCACGGTGGCAGTGAAGGTGCTGTGGTCATAAACCCAGCCATCCAGGCATGGCTCTGTGGCAGCCTCGCTCCAGTTGGTGGCTGTGGCATTGGAGTCCAGAATCTGCCACTGTGGATGGTGGAAGCGGCGGCATGGGTGGGGCTGCTGGTTGGGACCCAGAGGGATGGACACAGCCAGGAGGGCCTGGGGGTCCAAGGTCCCAGGGACACTGGCTTGGGTGGTGCTGTTGTCCAAGAGGGGCACCCAACAGCGGTGGCTGGGCACAGCAGCGGAAAAGTTTTCCAGCATGTTCTGGGTGGTGACATACATGATGGGGACCACCAGGGCCACCACCTGGAGAAACTGGAACCTGCCCAGGCCTCCAACTTGGTCCAGGAGCTCAGGAAATCCCATGGGGCCCGCTGGGGGCTGAAGAAGGGCCACTCCACAGAGGTCAGCTCAGGCCACAGGGTCAGTGTGGCACACCTGTGTCTCCTATGGTGGTGCCCACACCAGCTTCCCCAGCTGGGCTGCTGAAAGCATGGCAGGGTCCACCAGCTCCGGCTGCCACCTGGGCCTGTGCTGTGACCCTCTCTTAGTTGCGACTATGCCAACCTTCAGCAACAAGTGAATTTGGGGTGAGGAGAGGATTAAAGAGTGACCAGTGGTCACTTATGGAAGAGAGGTTAGTAATCATTTTTTAAGACAATGTTTAACTGGCTCTGAGGGAGGGAGACAGCTGGGTGTAAGTCCAGCATCTCCTCTGCCTGTGGGTGCTGCTCCTGGGGCAGCTGGGTGTGAGGGCTGCCTGTTCTGCTTACCTAGGTGAAGGTGAGCAGGGGTTCTCTGAATCTCCAGGCGGATGTGAGCCTCAAGCTTGACCCCGTGTGTCCCTAAGACTCACAGCCTGCAGGCTTCACTTGTGTCACCAGCTTTGCTGTAACCCTCTCCCAAGTCTCAGGGTGGGGAGCTTCTGACATTCTCATATACCCTGTGAACCCCTTGATTTCAGACTCCAAAATCTACCCTGACATCTCTGCCCCTTTCCAAATACTCTTCCCAGGACCTGTGCCACAGGTATGAACTCCTACCTCAGGGTTTCTGCCCCAGAGCCAGTATCACCTTTTCTCTCTTCTGCTCCTCAGTGCCCTGTCCCCCCAGTGGCCAATAGTGCCAGTTCCCCTTCCTGAGGGTCTTTCTCTCCTTGTCTTCCCCTGCCTGATTCCTGTCTCTGTTCCTGTCCCTGTTCCTAACCCTCTGACTACCATCACATGACACACCTGTGTGCCAAATCCTGCTAAAGAGCCAAGCATTCTGGCTCCAGGACAGCTGGCAATGCCTCACCAGAAGAGGTGGTGTGTGTGCTGGGCAGAATCAGGGAGGTCAGACCAGGCCAAGAGAGCTCTGTTGGCTGTGATACCTTCCAGGCTAAAGGGTCAGAGAACATGAAGCAGCAGATGTGTGTGCGTGTGCATGTGTATGTATCTGTGTATATGTGTGTACATGTGTAGGTACATGTGTGCACTATGTTCATGCATGTGCAGTGTGACAGTGAGGGCCCCCAGCTGTTCATCCTTATGTGCTTTGGACACAAGATGTCCACGGCAGAAATGACTCCTCTCATCTGCCTCCTTTGCTCCTGCTTGCTTCCCTTTCTCCTCTGCGCAGCTCACCAATCGAGGCCTTTTTGACTCCTTGAACTCCACACCCACCTCACCCATGCTGGCCCACCATGCTCCTCTTTCACTTTTGCTCTGCCTGCAGCCCACATTGCCATCTCCAGGCTCATCCAGGGTCACATCCTTCATGCTCGATGCGCTTCCTCCTCCAAGCTTATTCCTGCCCACCCTGGGGCTTGGAGTCGGCAGGGGAGGGCAGTTTTCGTATGTGCCTGCACTCTCCTATTATGATCTCATGGTTGTATGTCTAGCCGGTTCCTGGAGGGTGGGGACCTTCTTAAAGTCTCTTTGGAGCCCAGCACTTATTTGGACAGAAAATGAAGGTTCCATGAAGACTTTCTGAAGTCCGTGATGATTTTTACAACTTCTTTTTTTGATTATGAAATTTACAACCTCCTGAAAAATTTAGAAAATGTCGAAAAATTAAACAAAAATCAAAATTATTCTAAAATTCATTAACTAGTGACCATTATTGTTTACATTTTGGTGTACATATGTCTAAATAAGGTACATTTATCTCCTTTTCGTAAACCCCAAAGAAAAATCCCCCAAAGAGACATCCTATTTTGATTAGCAATTTTTAACCTCTTCACATTTATTGTGATTATTGACATGTTTGAATTGTGGTATATTTTCTTTACCATATTTCCCCCTTAAATCTTTCTTTGTACTTATTTTCTGTTGAGTTTCCTTGTCTCCTGTCTTGGTGTAGCATTGTGTAAGTATACATTTTTTTTTTTTTTTTTTTTT